TGCGTGCAAAGGAAAGAGGGTGTGTGCAAAGTTTCAACTCGATAGCTTTAAAACTGAGAGACTAGTTTGCGTAGAAACAGACAGACGGACAGACGGACAGACGGACATGGCTATATCAACTCAGGAGGTGATCCTGATCAAGAATATATATACTTTATAGGGTCGGAGATGTCTCCTTCACTGCGTTGCACACTTTTGACCAAAATTATAATACCCTCTGCAAGGGTATAAAAAGATGATCAAATTTTCCAATCTTTTAGAGGTTAATTACACAATATAATTTTGTACTTAAAAACACTTAAATTTCATAAATATAATAATTAGAAAATAACTTCATTTTATTACATTATTTTTCACACTGTACCAAGAGTACTTAAGGGATACTCAAGGGATAACCCAAGGCATGGTTCGAGCTGACCGTAAAACGATCACCCAGATTATGGAACATAAATGCTGCCGCGCCGCTGCCGGCATTCACGGCAGCGTAACTGCATTTCCTTAGCTGTAAAGTACATTGTTAGATATAAGCTAATTTAATTAATAAAGAAACCTCATAAAGAAACTAACGATTCTTTTCTTTTGGACTTGGGGAAAAACTGGGCGATACATTATAATTGTCTCTTAAAATAGGTAATCTACATTTTAGAACAACAAAGAATATGAAAAAAAAAATGAGTCTCCTTCATTTGTATTATTTTAAAACTATTAAATGGCACAAAAAAAAAACACACAATACATGAATGGTTGTTTCTACTAACTAGCCCCAGAACTAAAACAACAAAATACATTAAAAAGAAAAAATGTCTACCAACTATTTTATTGATTATACTATACTATAAAAAAGTTAAACAACAATATTTATAACAAGAAAGGAAAGCTTACTTCGGGCGGAGCCAAAGTTGATATACGCTTGCAGAATACTCTGTAATTTTTTTCTCCAAAATTATTCATATGATGCATTCTTAATACTCATAAAAAATCCCAACTTCCTAACTTTAGAAACACCAAAGTTATGGCATTTCCAATCGTTCAGTTATATGGCAGCTATAGGATATAGTCGGCCGATCCTTATGAAATTTTATAGGTCGGATTGATTGGCTAAAAATAAAACTCTTAGAAAATCCCAACTTCCTAACTTAACGAACACCAAATTGGCATTTCCGATCAATCAGTTATATGGCGGCTATAGGATATAGTTGGCCGATCCCGGCCGTTCCGACATATATACTGCGTGCAAAGGAAAGAAGGGTGTGTGCAAAGTTTCAATTCGATAGCTTTAAAACTGAGAGACTAGTTTGCGTAGAAACAGACAGACGGACAGACGGACATGGCTATATCAACTCAGGAGGTGATCCTGATCAAGAATATATATACTTTATAGGGTCGGAGATGTCTTCTTCACTGCGTTGCACACTTTTGACCAAAATTATAATACCCTCTGCAAGGGTATAAAAATAATAATATCATTTTTTATGCAGAAGAATTATTTAAATAAAATATGAATAAAAGCAAGTTATATTCCATATTATCAAAGCTTTTAGATTTATTTGAAGTGATTTTAACAATGATTGCTCTATATATATAAAACTGTTCACTAATATGTAGAACCTGTGTTCAGTCTACTGCTTGTCCCGATAGTTTGAGAGCGACCCGATCAGCTGATCGTTCGCTCATCTGGACCTGTGTAGGGCGAGAGCATAGAAAAAGGACCGCAACCAGAAGCAACAATCTGCGACATTCTGGTCGAACAACGCACAACATCCGCCGCCGGTCTAACGGAATTGGCACTTTGTCATACACTTTTAAATCAGGAATCAGAATAATTATGACGCTTTGAATTTACCCTTTTGTGTTTGCCTTTGCCTGGGAACCTCTCTTACAATGACCCCTCTTTGACCTAATACAAGGGGACACAACTGAACATGGTGGCCCATGAGGAGAACCTGCAAAGCAAATACACATCTTAAAAGGTTTCGTTAGATCGCGGCTGCGTCAGATCGACACGCCGGCTTAACGAAGCGGTGCAAAGAAAACATCGATACATAAGCACATCCTTCCTCTTTGTGGTGTGGTTCTTGTATGCAAACTGAGTGAGTGACCAAGTTGTGGGCGAGACAAGTATTACAGATTTATCAATAATATAATTATTCGGGTTGGAGAGTTGCGCAGTCCTTAGTCGTACACTTGGCAACATGAAACCTGAGTCGGATGTTTCAGATTTGGACAAGTTGGTGAATCTGCAATCAGATCGGCACCAAGCTCTTAGGTCTGTGTTACAGAATTTTAGGAAAGATGATAGAATTCGAGGGGCGTTATATGAACGCCTTTTGCGCTCTTGACGAAGACTTCGTCAGGCTTGGACCAGAAAATACTACGCCGACATCAGCCGCCGGGAACACCGACCCGGATTTGCGAGTAAACATGCCGCAAATGTCGGTGCCTAAATTTTCCGGTGCTTGTGTGGACTTGCCAGGCTACTTCGACGCCTTCACATGACTAATCCATAATAACAACAATCTGAGCAATGTCCAAAGATTGCACTTTCTCAAGGAGTCGTTGCCCATCAGTCGTGATAATGACATTCGTCAGATGCAGCTCACAGATGTAAATTATGCGTGGCTTGAGGAATGATGATCAAAAGGTACAACAATTCTCGCCTCGTTTTCTCACACCATATGAACGCAATATATGCGTTGCCCAGATTTCAAAAGGACAGCACCGACTGTTTGCGGTCGATGCTAAGCACGGCCAATGTTTGCCTAGCTGCCTTGGACGGGGAATCGCAGCACTGGTTGGCGCATTACGTAGCATCGAAGCTGCCCAAGGAAACCCATAACGCTTGGGAGCACCAACAAGGAATCTCTTCAACGGTTCCATCTTATAGGGATTTGGAATCATTTCTGAACGATCGGCTAGTCATAATGGATGCGATTGAGAATCGAAGCTCGTCGAACGACTCCAATGCTGGCCCAGGTTCAACAGACCCGACCAAACGCGTGCGAGTGCATAATGCACAGGAGTAACCCTTGTTATCACTGTGGCGGCGACCACATCCTGCGTCGCTGTCCACCGTTCTTGGCGCTGGACTGTTACAATCGGAAGGATATAGTCAGCAGGGCTAAATTATACGTCAATTGCTTGAGTAAGTCGCTGCCAGGTTTGCGGTCAGCGCCATCATATGTTGCTTCATTTCTCGGTTCCGGCGCAGAACCAGCCTTCGAACCGAGCTCAATCGCATCCTGCCCGGCCCAGGGAAACAGTGTCTGCTCACAACATACAGTCCAGGTCGGATCAAAATCCATGTTATTCGGCGACGTCATCCAACCTTTCCTCTAAAAATGTACTTCTCGATACGGCTCGTATTTATGGTACGAAACCCGATCAACGGATCTGAGGCAACCATAGTATCTGAACACTTTGTTCAGTCCCTTCATTTGAAACGATATGTTCTCAATTCCGTAACATCCTGCCTCCCCAGTCTCAGATTCTCGCCGAAGCGATGGGATCACATCCAAGGCCTCCCGTTGGCAGATCCAAATTATTACCGGTTAAAACGAGTTGATCTCATCTTGGGACCTGTTGGCATGCTGCCAGACACGAAGATTGGATTGCCCGACTAGCCCATAGCTCAAAATACCCGTTTGGGATGGATACTATCTGGGCGAGCAGAAGGAGTTAGAAAATCAACCGAACTACGCTGTCATCGAGTAACTTTGGACACGGAGTCATTGCTCAAACGATTTTGTAAAGTCGAGTCGGTTCCTGATCACTCTACGGAAACGGAGGATAATACGCGCGTCGATCGGTTGGCAGCTACGTAGTACGATTGCCTTTTAAAACATATTTGGATACAACAATGGTATTGGGGAGATCTCATCAAATGGCGCTGAATCGGTTTATGCAATTGGAAAGGCGTCTGTCGAACAATCCGGAGCGGTGGAACAAATATGTGGAGGAGATCAAGGAGTACTTTTTGGTTGAGCAAATAGCGCCTGCTGTGGGCAGTGAGAACAGTCTAGCTTCATGCGTACTCCCGCACCATGCGGTCTTCAAGGAGGAACTCCATTCGACCAAACAAACAATTGTATTCGATGCCTTCTCAAGAACTAGTAACGGGAGATCATTGAGCGACATACTTTGTATCGGACCCAATTTGCAGAACGACATGTCATCGGTTATACTCAATTGGCGGAAATATCGTTTTGTTTTCACGGCGGATATACAGAAGATGTATCGCTGTATAGATGTTCATTTTATGGTGGGCGGCGGATGGAGCCATCAATGTTTATGCGTTATCGACATTGACCTTTGGAACGGCATCAGCGCCGTTCACAGCTATCAGAGTTATTCAACAGCTGGCAAAGGATGAGCAGCTTTCATTTTCTAAGGCCGAGGAGGTGCTGATGAACGAAATATATGTAGACGACATTCTTTCTGGAGGACATACTATAGATGAGGCAGAGAATAAACGGTTTCAGGTATCGGGTGCTATAAAATCCGCACGCATGGAGTTGCGAAAGTGGGCCAGCAACAATTTGAAACTTTTCCTCTCGATTCCGTCAGAGTACCATTGCACTCAGACCCTGTTAGGTTGGGACACTACAAATCCTATAAAGGCTTTAGGAATGTATTGGCTCCCAAACAAGGACTGTTTTAAGTACCAGATCAACTTCGAGATTCCAGTCAGCTCCACAAAGAGGATGATCTTATCCAGTATGGCAAGGTTGGTTGACCCGCTGGGTCATTGCGCCGGTCATCATCTCAGGAAAGCTTATATGGAAGGAGGTTCTGGACTGGGACGATGCGGTTCCTGATAATATCGCTGAGCGATGGCGAGTATTCCGAGACAACCTGCTGAATATCGGCGAGATAAGCATAGCTCGATGTATCCATTAAGCCCCATCTTCAATATCCTTAATGCAGATGCATGCGTTTTGCGACGGTTCTTTCACATCTTATGCAGCTGCTGTGTACCTTAGAGTAGAGCATCAGGACGGGAGATGCTATTCATCTCCGATGCAAAATCAAAGGTTACTCCCGCGAAGCCCTTAACTAAACCTCAAACAGAGTTAAGTGGAGCGGTATTGGCCATCAAATTGGTGAGGTGGCTAACTATGGCTAAGTGTCTGAGCCCCTTTTCGGTCCAGACTTTCTATTGGACGGATGCTACAACTGTGTTGCACTGGTTGCATGGAGACGTCAATAGATGGAAGACCTTTGTCGCGAATAGAGTCGCCTTCGTATTGGATCATTCCTCGCCAGTTCAGTGGAGACACGTTGGCACTACCGAGAATCCAGCGGACTGCGCTACACGCGGTCTCACTCTCATCGAGCTAAAGGGCCAGAGTGGCTCATACGCAATCAAGGCCATCGACAGATTTCGGCCAAGGACGCCTTGGGCCCTTAAGTATTGAAGAGCTCGACTACGCTTTATTAGCCGTCGTGCGGCTCGTACAGCGGCAATCGTTCGCAACCGACATGTCTGCAATAAGAAACTCCAAACGTTTGCCCTCGCGGAGCAAATTATTAAATTTGTCGCCGATATTAGAGGAAGTCATCTTGCGGGTGAGGGGACGACTTCGCCATTCTAGTTTGTCGCACGAATGTCTTCATCCGATAATCCTGCCAAGTTCTCATCATTTACCAGAATTAGTAATACGTTACTACCACTATCAAACCCTGCACCGAGGTGCGCAGTTGAATTTGACACAAACCCTTCAGCGTTTTTGGATCCTGACAGGACGGTAAGCAGTTCAAAGGGTTATATGAAAATGCGTTCGCTGCTTCAGAACGCGACCAACTACTACGGGTCAGATTATGGGACACTTGCCCGTTCATCGAGTCAACCCTCCTAGTCGACCATTTATTGCCACTGTTGTCGACTACACAGGCGCAATAGAGACGAGGTCTACGAGGCAACAAAGGCGGTGCATTTGGAGGCGGTGCATTTGGAGGCGGTGACAGTTCTTACCACAGAGCATTTTTTACTGGCTCTGGAAAGGTACACCGGGCGACGAGAAATGGTTCAGCACCTTTTGGTGCAGACAATGTAATGAACGTGGCACTTCAATCCTCCTCTGTCACCTTACTGTGGTGGGACGATCTAGAAGTGCTTATCCCAGCGCACTTTCTCATCGGAGACTCAATGCCGGCACCGCCGGAATATGAACCACAATCCAGATCCTTCGCATAGCAGTTCCTCATCTAGCAGACGATGATACGAAATTTCTGGAACGCTTAGAGGCGAACTTTCTCTAGAGGGGTTCTGTTGGTGTATATGGCAGACGCTGTTTCTTGTATAAATTTTCAATGATCTCGAGCTAGTGTTTGACGCCTTTTAATGCTGCAACAAATAGGGTACATATGCCACAATATATTTAATTATTCCTCTATCACTGTCGCACTGACATGCAAAAGTCATTGACAATTTTTGATGGTTTCGGGACATGTAAAAATATTTTCAATTTTGGATCGGATAATCAAGAAGTAGCAGTTGTGCTGACTTAGCCGTTGAATGTTTGCAAAAAGAAAAATTTGAATTGGCATTGATGTATAAATCCGATGTCAGCGCTGCTGGCAGAATGCTGACCTTGAATTCACATCCGCTACACAGCCTTATGCAGCAGACTACGATTCGCGACAAGAAAGCCGCGATATATGATAATAGAGGTAAGAGCTCGGGAAAAAAAGAAATATCAATTTGTTGTGCTAATGAAGTAAGTATAAATAGTTGTAAGGGCGGCAGAGAGTCAAGATTTTGAGATGATAGGAAAAAGTATTTTAGTCAGAACATAATACTCTAAAAGGTTCATGCAAGTCATAGTTAGATCTACAATGATTGAATAATTGTAACTCAATCTATTTGACGCAGAAAAGTTATGCTGACCTACCAAGTCGGGGTTATCAATCTCACTTCGAATAAGTTTGTAAATAAAGACAGTACCAAGCGTAGTTCTATGGTTTGCAAGGAAGGGTAAATAAATTAACAGTAGTCTACTAGAACAAGAAGGTAACAAGACTTGCATCCCAGTTCAAGCACCGAAAAGCAAAACGTTTTTCGACGAATTTAATTCGGACACAAGGATCATCGAAGTTTGTTGACCATCTTTTGAAACTAAGCACGCCTCCAAATAAGGAAATCAATTAGAAACTCTACCAGGTCAAGTTTCCGAGCAAGAAATAAGTTATTTACAGAGAGTAATTGTCAAGATTTGAGATTATAGAAAATATATATTATAGTCAGAACATTATAGTCTGAAAGCCTTTTTCGAGTCATAGTTATTTCTACTATGATTTATTATGAGGGGAATGTATTTTTAGTTATCTACTTGGCACAGAAAAGTTAAGCCGACCTACCAAGTCGGCGCTATTAATCTCACCACACATTAGGTTATAAGTGGCTAGGAAGGGAAAATCAAATAACAGAAGTCTACTAGAATAAGAAGTTAAGTCTTGCATCCCAGTTTGGGCGTAAAGCAAAAGACATTTTTTGTATATACAGTTCCTATCGTTGTGAGTTTGGGCATATTCTCTTCATGTGGCTCGGCAGAAAAGCTCGGGATATTTTTTCGTTCTTGTAAACAAGCAGTTCATTGCAGTTCAATAAGCGATGGTCAATAAGCAACAGACGATTAGAAATTAACAATTTATTTTAACATAGAGAAAAACTAATAAAAATAAATTAGCGTCACACTTTTTGCCAAGATAGTTAAGTAGCATAAGCTTACTTGATGATTATGTACTGAGCTTATTCAAAAGCTCAAAATATACATATAATGAATTTCTTTTTACCTTTTTGTTAGCCTAAGCATTTTTGTTCCTTCCATTTACCAAAAAAAAAACGTTAAATTTGTCCATCGCAAATCATACTTGTACGATGACAAACTGTTTCTCCTCTAACATTGCAATGATCAAAACCCGTGTCTCGATATGCTAATTGGCGCAACATGCTAGCAATATCCGGAGGCTTTAAACATTCCGATGGACGTGTTTTAGGATTAGAGTTGGAGATAAAGATGCCTTTTTTTAGCCCTAGTGGGTCGCTGACTGTGTCTAACCACCACCGCTCTAAACCAATCTAATTAGTATTATTTACAGCAAAAAATAGAGAATTAATTAATATTTTTATGGACCTATTGTGATGAGATACAGTAAAGGCTTATTTATGATTGTTTTGAAAGACATAAAAAATGATATGTATTTACGATGCTATTGGGCATATTCGGTTGAGCAGTGTGTAATAATAAAATTTAAAATTGATTATGTCATTTAACAGATCAGCGCAATGGTCGAGGCCCGACCATAAAATACCCGGTACTTGGTAAAACAATCAATAGTATATCACCTTAGTGTTTAAGTAAAGTGTATATTTAAATTTTCACCTTTATGACTAAAACTAAGTTTTGAAGATAACTAAATAAACTAAAAACGATTTTGAAATTGAGCTTATGGAAGTTATAGTCCTGTCATTTCGTTTTGTGTAATTGATAGTAATGAACCAAAATGAACCCACAGAGGAAGTGCTAGTAATACGTTTTTTATTTAATCGTAATGGGATACCTACATTAAATAGTTGCTAAGGAAACGATAGGATGATCTGACGGACAAGCCGACTAATACTTATGAAGCTCATTATATAGTTGTTACAGGAGGTTCGAAAAATAAGTTGCGATCCTGGCAATTAAAAATTTCGCTGTGCAAGTAATTTTAAGAGTCTCCACAAGTATCGGATATAAGTCGAGACATAAACATGTGTTAATAATAACTTATCTTAACTGCCTTAAAGAGCTTGAGTACTTTAAAGGGAAATGAAACACAAAAGTCATGCAATAAATCTTTGTTTTACTCACTTATTATAAAGAACAATGTCAGGTCTCCATATATGATCGGAAGGAACATGTAACATATGAACTCCACCATATTCTTTTGGTTCCCATCGAAGTTTGTAATCGTACCAGGACTGTAAAAAAATAATATAGGAAAATTCTTATAGATATTCATATTTAAATCTATATATATAAAAATGGTGCAAAAAATGTACGCCATCGCAAAACAAGAGAACGGCTGGGCCGATTTGGCTCAAATTTTTTTTCAGTTGTTTGTAATTGCCAGAAGAAGGTTAATAATAATAATAATAAGAAAATTTTGGGAAAACCTGCCGGAATAGTCGCTATCGGCTCAACAGCAGTCTCTGGAAATAATGCCTTCATTGTTGTACATAAAACTGTAAAAAACGAGTTAACGAAACATTGCCAAAGTTTTAATTGGAAATAATGCCTCCTTGGACGGCGTTCACGCAATGCGATACATTCTCAGAATGTCCGCAATAATCGAACGCAAGAGGTGCCCGAATTGCACAGCTTCGCGCTGCATTCGGATACAATTCCGAAACACCCTACAAAGATCATAGCTGCGTTGTTATTGGTTCATTGTCTGTCGTATGTCAGCATTGCAATGCACTGAAGTTTCGATTGGAAACCCCCGGCATATGCTGTGCAGGTGGTAAAATTAAATTCCCCGTTTTGGCTCATCCACCAGAGCAATTGTATTCGCTACTATGTGGAAATTCAGCCCAATCAAACAGTTTCCTAAGCTTCCACAAAAATATAACGGATGCTTTTAAATGACGTCATTTGGAGCCGAGGTTGTTCATCAACCAAGCTACAATCCGAGTTATAAGGTAATGGCGTCTCTTTATTATCAAAATGAACAACTCTCATTTTTTTCAAAATTGCATCCCTACATTCAGATTCAATGGCAAATTCACCATCGAGCGGGCGCTTTGTTACCACCACCAAACAAAGATCATAAATTCTTTCATATCTAATTCATTGGTGATGCGGAAGATGAACTAAATCAGCATTGTGCAATTTTCACTGCAACTAAACGTGAAGTTATACAACAATTGCAAAATCTTATGCATGAGCGTAATGAATTGGTCAGATTGTTTAAAACCGCATTGGATACAATGCATTCTGACGACCACAAAATCATTATAAGCGCTGACAAGAGATCCACTGGAAGCCATGCAAGACAATTTAATTTAAGTCGCAGTGGTGATTATTGGCGAGAATGCGGAATCAAGCGATATTGTTCTCAAGCGTCGGGATGATGGCCAATTGCAGCGAGTTTTTGAGACTCATCGGTCATTTGATGCACTTCAATACCCGTTGATGTTCTGTCGTGGAGAAGATGGGTATCACTTCAACATAAAGATGGTCAATCCAACGACAGGTTTGTTTACAAGTCATCACTTCTTTTTGATTCTACAACTAAGTTTGAATTCAAATTTTAGGAGAAGAAACGAATAAGAAGGTCAGCTCTATGAATTGTTATGCGTATCGATTGATGATTCGACTTAATGTTGACAATCATCTGTTGAGATACCGCCGTTTGTTTCAGGAGTACTGTGTCGACATGTACGTCAAAGTAGAAACGGAGCGTCTCAATTTCATTCGTTTCAATCAGTCGAAGTTGCGCTCAGATGAGTACATTCACTTGCGTGACGCCATCGCTACTGAAGGACACGCTGCCAACATCGGTTGTTTGACCATTCTCTCAGCTACTTATATTGGAAGCCCGCGCCATGTGCATGAGTACGCTCAAGATGCGATGACGTATGTCCGTAATTACCGACGCCCGGATTTATTCATCACGTTCACATGCAATCCGAAATGGCCCGAAATTACGAATCTGTTGCTTGCAGGACAAACATCTAGCGATCGACCTGACATCACTGCACGAGTATTCAAGCCAAATATCACAGTACTTGAGAATAACATCGTTAAGCTGAAGGTTTTTGGCGTAGTACTCGGTTGAGAGGCAGAAGCGTAGCTTACCACATGCACACATTTGGATCTTCGACAAGATCCGACCAGATCAAGTTGATTCGAATATTTCAGCCGAAATACCAGATAAACAAACTGATCCCGAGCTGCTTTCCATTGTGACAACGAGCATTATCTATGACCCTTGCGGAGTCCACAACCCAGAATCAGTATGCATGGATAACGGAAACTGCACAAAACGATTTCCCCGTCCGTTGACGGCTGAAACAATCAGTGGACACGATGGATATCCATTGTATAGTCGTCGCTCTCCAGATGACAACGGCAAATGGATCGAAGTAATGGTGAAACGTACCGAAACAAACGTAACAGTAATCGTGGATAACCGCTGGATCGTTCCATATTGCCCGCTTTTGTCGAAAACGTTCTCAACGCATTGCAATGCTGAGTACTGCAACTCTATCAAATCCATCAAATACGTTTGCAAATATGTGAACAAAGGGAGCGACATGGAGGTGTTTGGCTTTGCTGATCCGAATGCAAACGATGAGGTGACGAAATTTCAACTTGGACGCTAGGTTAGTTGTAACGAGGCCATTTGGCGGCTGTTTTCATTTCCGATTCATGAACGTCACCCGACTGTCGTCACTTATCTGTTCACTTGGAGAACGGCAAGCGTGTCTACTTTACGGACGCGAACGCAGCGCAAAGAGTAGAATGCTCGATGGCGGATAAACGAGTTTAGGAGGCAGTTGACCGAACGATGAAGAATTAACGAGGTGATTCGAAACTATTTGGTGGGGCTTTGATATTGCTGACCTGAGATTTTCGTCAAACGCTTCCCGTCATTCCGAAATCTACGGCTGCCGATGAAGTTAATGCATGCCTGAAATCGTCCTCTTTGTGGCGATATATATGTCAAGAAGTTTAAATTGTCCACGAATATGAGAGTCGCATTCCAGAATGACCCCTCCGCTGCTGCATTCTCGAGACAACTGCTGGCGCTTGGCAAGGGCGAAATTCCTTTTAAAGTTTCGATTGGACTAATATCGTTCCCAGCAAATTTTTGCGAGTTCACATCGTCGAAAGAGGAACTCATCACAAAAGTGTTTCCCGACATTGCACAAAATTATAAAAATCTCGATTGGATTAGTGAACGGGCAATACTAGCAGCGAAGAATAAGGACGTAGATAGTTTGAATTTCGTTATTCAAAGTCAAATCGCTGGAGAACTACATTCATACAGATCCGTTGACAGCGTAACCGACGAAGATGAGGTGACCAACTATCCGACAGAATTTTTGAACTCACTGGATGTGCCAGGAACTCCGCCGCATAATTTGCAACTGAAAGTGGGATCAATTATTATAATGCTGCGGAATCTAAATCATCCGAGATTATGCAACGGTACGCGGTTGTCCGTTAAATAACTGATGAACAACGTGATTCATGCGACGATTATTAAGGGCAAATTTAAAGGAGAGGAAGTTTTTATCCCACGAATTCCGATTATTCCAACAGATCTTTCATTCCAATTCAAGAGGATTCAGTTCCCAGTTCGATTAGCATTTGCGATGACAATCAATAAATAGCAAGGCCATTATTTATTTTTGCACCGGATATTATAAATATTGTTTACCACATCGCTCTCCACTGATTTTGAGTCAAATAAATTTTTATGAAATTTGAATTACCAGTGTTTTATTATTACTCTGGGGTTATATGAAGTCGTGAAATTGGGGCGAGACAAAGTTCGCCGGGTGCTCTAGTTTATATATATTTTTAGATTTATATTTATGTTCAAGTCTTGACCCTGTAGAAATAATATTTATTTGACAGCGGCCATGTCGGATTTAACTCAACAATTTTTTTTTTTTTTTTTTTTTTTTTGGGCTGAGGGGGGAAAATGCCTTCTGCATCTCACACTACCGTCGTATGTGTGGTATGTGGGGCTTGCACCCACTAAAAACCCCTCCTCATCAGGCCTGTATCCACTTCGGAAAAGCTTCCGCATTACTTCAAAGTGGGGCCTCTTGCGCGCGATGCGCGTTCATCTACTCATACAAAGCTCTAAGGCTCGCCTCTACTTAAATGCCAATATATACCGTAGAAAATATCCAGTGGCACCCAAGGAGAGGCGATCCCCAGAGCCCGTCTGATGGTCTGCGTCCAGCCTGCCCTTTTTATACCCTTGCATCAAGGTCTAATTTCTTCAAGCGCAGAATGTCTCCGATAAAAGCGGCTACTGCTCTCCAGTTCTCTTCGCTTTCGCACATCTTGGCTACTTCGAAGTGGGGCCTCCTGCGCGACATGCGCTCTCGTCTCAATGCAAAGCTCTACGACGCGTCCGTTTCTCGTCTATCAAGATCGTTTTTCTTTGACCTTAAGATCGTTCCAACATAGGCTTTTACGTGATTCCAGGCCGCCTCACTGCTTATCATTCGATCAACTATGTTTTCAGGCGATATTTCTCCAATGGCATCCGTTAGTCCGGTGCGTTCTGATCGAAACCGCTCACAATGGAATATAGTGTGTTCTACACTGTCCCTCTCGGCGTCTTCATAAATGCACGTAGCTTGTGAGCTTTTCGCGATAGTGTGCAAAAAGGCCCGGAAATAGCCGTGGCCGGTCAGCATTTGAGTTAGGTAGTAATCAACGTTTCCGTTTTTCCTTTTTGTCCACCCCTTGAGATTGGGTATAAGCCTAGCTGTCCATTTTCCCGAGCATTCATGCTCCCACCTATTTTGCCACAAGTTCAGGGTCTCTTCTCTGCACAGCTCTTTTGTTTGTCTTGTCGCTACTCCACTTTGTTTTAGCTGGTAGACTTTTTGGCGTTCTCTTGCTAAGAGATCGATCGGTATTACACCCGCAGTGACTAGAGCTGCTGATCCTGATACCGTTCTATAGGCGCTGATTATCCTCAATGCTATTGTCCTTTGAACTTCGAGCAAGGGTTTAAGTCTGCACTTTACGCGTAGGGTGTTAGCCCAAACCTCACATCCATAAAGCAGGATTGCGTGGTTCACTTCCATTAGGAGTTTGCGTTTCGACTGGATTGGTCCACCTATGTTTGCCATGAGTCTGCTAAGTGATTTTGCAGTGTCGGTCGCTCGGCTTTTAGCGTGCTTAATTTGAGCCTTAAACGTCAGTTTGGGCTCAAGACGAACTCCTA